GCAGAAGCAAGCACCAAGACTCACTCTTGTTTCTTCAAATGCTCCTTCTTCTTGCCCAGCCAAAGACAAAATGGCTTCCCAAAGATGGAGGAGACCTTGCTGGGGCCAAGGGGGATGTCTTAGAGCAGAAGATGAAGCAGTGGGAGAATTCTCCAGCCCACCTACTTTCCCTAGAACATGGGATGGAGGGAATGTGAGAAGATGAAAGCATAATACATAGTGGGAAAGACTACTGGTCGTAGATCCATTTCAGATCACATACATTAGCAATTATGTCAACACATCTTGTAATCTCATCTTAATTTCCAATGGCTGCCATAATACTAAAAACATTTGTTTACACCATTATGTTAAAATATGTGCATTTTGTCCCAGCATCATACAAACCTTGCCTCCTTCCCTCTTCCTCCACTATCAAATAGTTAATTATGTAACAAAATAATATTGTGTATGCGGAAATCATTTAACCATATAAACACGTACTCCAACTGTATTGTGTTTGTGGGTCTATATTTTAATTCAATGGATACTTTAAATGAGTACAGTTTTAAATTATATGGTACGAAGGGGATTAGGATTTCTTAAATGTATTCATCCCTACTCTACCCCTAGCACAACTATTTTCTTTTTCTGGTCACCAGCTAGTATTTACTCACATAGGTAGTTTGTTCCTGCTTATAATCAGAACATGCAATTTTATATATAGCTTTCTTTATCACTCTCCATATTGCAACTTAATGGAGTTAATCTAGCAACATTTTCTTAGAATCTCCCCTGTTGGACACACAGATTGTTTCCATTATTCACTATAATGAATAAGGCTGCAATAAACATTTTCCTAAGTATGCCATTTTCTAATTTTGAATTATTCCCTTGGGGTAATTTGTAAGATTAATAGTCCAAAGATATGAATGTATTTAGGGACTCTTAATATAGATATGGATCAGATGGGGGGGTCCATGGGCTATATATATGTATAGTACCACCAGAACTATATGAATTTATCAATTGTTTTCCCAGTAACCTCATCTGCATTTATGTTTTCTTGCTTATAATTTTAACTAACATAATATGTGTCACTTTTTAAATTTATTTGTATTTCTTTAATTGCCATTCAAATTTTGAAAGTTTACATATTGCTTTACACATGCCTTACTATTAGTGAGCTTAATCAGGGAAATCACTGAAGTATCATTAAAGCATAGGTTCAAGTTCCAACTCTGAATTAGCCTCTCAAAAAAAAAATAATAATTTCTTCAGTTACGACTTAGTGACAATGAGGCTTGCATTACAAAGTTGTTGAAATGATTGGATGAATCAATCAATGCCTCATGAGTTAGCAGCACATGGGGAATTGTTACTTCTCTCTCTGTCTCTGCCTCCCTCATCTCATCTACCAACCCTCGTGCCCCTGACTTCCTCTCGCGTGGATTATGCACTCACGCTCTCTTAGTACACAGTTTTATAGGACCCGCCTTGTCCTTCCAGAGTTTACATCCATGGGAGCTCTTTGTCAGCGTTCTCTAGAGAACCGATCTCTGACTTGCCAGCAAGTGCTGACTTATATTGCACATCGCTGAAGTCAGATCTGTTGGACCACGTGTGAACTTACTTGAGTGTTCACACAAACATGTGGGTAATACACTCAATATCAATGTCTTTCTATAAATCACTCACTTTAGGATTCTGTGTATAGTCTCTTCTCCGAGTTTCCTTCCACTAGTCTTTTCAGAGATATTTTTATTTGTTTATTTGCCTCTTTGTGCTGGTTTCGGGTAATACTTTATCTTAATCTTCCACTTATTGTGTCCCACCTGAGAACAAGCGTCCTTCTCCTGGTAACAAGTGCAGTTGGTCAGACAGTCGTAAGACAAGCCGATCGCTAGACGTTGCATTCTAGATGATACTGTCATCTGGATTTTGTCCATCTTCCGTCTAGTGTGTTTTCCAGGCATTATCGCCCAGCGGTTGCTTGAATTGGTTTCCATCTTGAGGACCTTTGTGGCAGGAGCTGTCTTTTCAAGCAGTCATTTTCCCAAATAATAATTCCAAATACATTATAAAGTATGAGAAAGCCTGTGAGCAAGCATATGGTTTCTCAATTGGAAAAGCATCAAAATTGTAAATTCCTGTCCTCTTCCATGAGGGCAAGGCGGTTTGGGGTCTACCAGAAGATCTTCCAATCTCTCACCTTCATGACGAGAAATCGAACTGAGTAAGATGTGTTCTAAGCAGTTCCACTTCGGGATTTTAAAAAGAGCAAAAGGGGAGGAGGGAGAAGAAGGGAGAAGAGTTCTCTACAGTCTTTTCCAGCCTCAGCAACTGTATTTCTCATCCTCTAGAGAATGCCACGGGCTCCTTTCGATTTTTTATTTCTTACATAAGCCTTCTCTTTATGTGTCACAGGCAAGGCTTCATTTTTGCATTGCTAAACCTGCTTTCCTGCATCTCTGTGCCCACTCTCCCCATTTTTAGATGTTACACATGAGTGCTGGCCTCTTTTCCTATCTGAGCAGATGCAACAATTCTACCTTCTTACCCACATCCAAGCCCTTCATCCGCACACTGCACCAGCAAATGTTCAAGTACTGATGATTTCCACCAAGCCTGAGAGAGGCTCCTGTGTAATAGTTAAATCAACAAAGGAAATTCAAGGATCACAGCTGGGTTTAGACGCAAAGACCGGTTTTTCCACTGCTGGTGAGTGGTACACAGCAGCCACCATGCCCGCAATATGCCTGCACAGAGACATCTAGCACTGAAATATCCAAACTCACAAGGTGAACGGAACGTGCACTTACAATCACGGTCTTGTTTCTCTGCCCCACACTTGCATTCATGAAGCTGGGACCAGAAAGGGCGATATTAGAAACGGTGTACTTGTGCCCAGAGCCCAACTTGCACACAGCAAGAAAGCTGTTGACATGAAACAGGACAGTGACTGTAATGGCCACACCACGTTCATCGCTGTATCGCACGCACTTCTTCATGAACCCTGGCATCCTGAGCCTCTCCCTGCGGCTCACGGAGGACTGGCCCCAGCTTGAACCTCAGTCTGCATGACTCACTTTGTGGTTTGATCAAGTCCCCTTAGCCACAGTTTCCCCTACGCAGTGCAGGTAAGGTCACACTGTCCTGCAAAGAGTTCATTAAGCTAGAAGGAGATAATGTGCATACAGGATTTTGGAACAGGGTTCAAATTCTCTACAATTACCAGGGCAGTTGTTTTTGTTAGCACCGTTAGGCTGATTTACAGTAATTTAAATCTGTAAAAAGATGTTCTGCCATTTGTTTGTGTATGTTCCACTTTCCTCACCCTGTTGTGCACCAATTAAGGCAGCTTTCAGAACATGCCGTTCTCCCTCACAGCTTCCTGCGTTTGAATATGCCGCTTGAATATCCTTCTCCTCCCCTCCACCCCCATGTCCCTTTGTCTGTCTGCCACTTTCCTACTCGGCATTCAAGACTGAGCTTAAAGAGGGGCGCCTGGGTGGCGCAGTCGGTTAAGCGTCCGACTTCAGCCAGGTCACGATCTCGCGGTCCGTGAGTTCGAGCCCCACGTCGGGCTCTGGTCTGATGACTCGGAGCCTGGAGCCTGTTTCCGATTCTGTGTCTCCCTCTCTCTCTGCCCCTCCCCCGTTCATGCTCTGTCTCTCTCTGTCCCAAAAATAAATAAACGTTGGAAAAAAAAAATTTTTTTTAAAGACTCAGCTTAAAGACCTCCTGATTGGTGATGCCCACCTCTGTACCCTCTCTGTACCACAGTCGGGCAATTACTTGCCTGTATTGGGATGATCTGTGTCCAGTGTGGTCTCTTCCATTTGACTGGACCAGGCTTGTCGAAGGCAGAACCAAGTCTTACTCAGTTTTCACCCCAATACCTGGTTCACGTTATTCACTCAATAAATGTTGATCAAAATGGTGAGTGAATGTCAAGTACTTGGTGCCATGAAATCAATTGTATTAATCAGGTGAGCGATTCTTTGCTTCTTTGCTATAAATTTATGAAGGAAACTCATCACTCAGCTTTCTATAAGTGGTATACATATATATTCATTTTGTGTACATATTAAAGGGGAAAGCTAATAAAATACTCCCGGGGCTCCTGGGAGTCTCAGTCGACTCTTGATTCCACCTCCAGTCGTGATCTCACAGTTTGAGAGTTTGAGCCCCACATCGGGCTCCACAAGGTGGAGCCTGCTTGGGATTCTCTCTCTCTCTCTCTCTCTCTCTCTCTCTCTGCCCCTCCTCCTCTGCTCATGCATTCTCTCTCTCTCTCAAAAAAAAAAAAAAAACTTTAAAAAATACTCCCAATTATTTGAAGTTTCAAACCGAGGACATGTGATCATGTGACAGAGACCATAAGATGTGATGTTTATGTGGAGAGGTAAGTTATACAAATTCGTTGTTTCCCCAGTAGCTGCCATGAATCACTCATTCAGCAGGACACCAACACATATTATAGAAGAATAGGGTTTCTTGATGAACATTTGGAAAATTCTGGGAAAATCTCTATTTATAAAGTTTATCATTTGATTACAATGTCATCTCTGGAGGAGTAGGAGAAGGCTGGTCAAAAAGTAACAACCTTCCAGTTATAAGATAAAAAAATACTAGGGATATAATATACAGCATGATGACTATGGATAATATTGCCATATGACATATATGAAAACAGTTAAGAGAATAAATTCTGAGAGCTCTCATCACAAGGAGAGAGAAATTATTTTTCTTTTCTTTTTTGCTCTGTTTTTATTGTATCTATATGGGCTGATGGATGCTAATAACTACACTTACAGCAATAATGATTTCACAATATATGTAAATTAAATTTATTAGGCTGTACATCTGAAACTTACACAGTGATGCATGTGAGTTGTATCTCAACAGGACTGGAAGAAAGTGAAATGCCATCTCACAACTTAGCTTTCTGAGTATCATTTTGTCTTTTGTTTTGGTTTAGATTAACTTCCTCTTTCATTATTTTGTTCAATTTTCAGCTTTCGTGGTAACATGGCCCCTGTTTTCCTTCTACAAGAGAAATTCAGCACACAGCAGAGTCCTTGATAAATTGGATTAGTTTGATGATCCCACTTGGAATAGGTATGTAGAACTTCAATATTTTCTTACTTAGTGTTTTGAACCCTTTTTATGATTCAACAGGAACCATTCCTGCTGTTCTTCCTGCTCAGTGAGAATGGAATTTGCTATGAGGAGTAAAACTGATGGGTCAGAGATGACCTTTGTCTTTTCTGCTTCGAAGTATGTGTTTACGACTTGCAAGGCTCCGGAAGATGCCTTTCTTTTCTTCCTCGTGTGATAAATACTCATTGAGAATACAGTCATTCCAGGAGAGGGAGGAAATTCTATGCTCGTAGGATTCTGAAAATAATATTAATCTGAAACTCTTTGAACATCAAGTATATGAAATATGACTGATGCTCTGGTATGTTTATGAGTATAATATCTGTAGTTCAGTGCTGTAATGGAAAGATACAAACTTCTTTTTTCCCAAAATTAGGCCAGGCTTAGACAAAACTGAATACTAAATTACAGACTGAATAATTGCACGTGTGAATTAATTAATCATCCCCGGATCACTGAGGTTTTGTGACAATTACTCCCTTGGTGTATCATCATATAAATATGATATAAAACCCACAAAATACAGTATCTGACAGTTTTTCTATATACAGAATTCTTTTGAAGGAAATGTTCTATAATTAGATTCTTATAAGGTATAAGCCTTGTAACTCTTGATTTGATCCAGTTAAGACTACTTGGATAACTACTGTGTGTGTGTGTGTGTGTGTGTGTGTGTGTGTGTGTGTGTGTGTGTGTGAGATATATTATCACTAAGGTATATTTCATTATAAGATTCATTGCTTTCTTGTATTTGACTTTTAAAATATTACTAGGAATATGGTAGGCTTGTTGAGATGCTGGCAAAAATTTAGAAAAGTGTCCCATCTATATAAATTGTATTTTCAAAAGTAAAACTCTATAACAACTCTCCCGTGCCCCGCCCCTCAAAAAAAAAGTGTTGAAAACCACATTTCAGAAGTAGCACAGACTTGAGAGTTAATGAGACATGAGGACCTAGCTTTACTACTTAACCCATTACCTTAGGAGAATCTTTTATGTTTCCTTAGGAAGAGTGTTATTACTTAATTTGAATGGGAGGAAGAAAATAAATTAATTCACAGGTACAATGTATGAAGTCCACGAGGTCACTTTTATTCTTAATGAAGTATCAGGTAATTAAGGATTGTGTTTCCAAGAGTCTCCAAAGAATTTCATTTCTACCTTCTGTGAGAGTCTGAAATCCATAATTAGAGTTTAACTGCCTGATTTAAACAGAATTTGCAGCTGGTCACCTACATGTTAGATCTGTCTTCGTTTGTTTATTTTTACAAGGTTTTGTCTTGGTTTTTGGCCCACACAAAGTTGATACGTATGTATTTTAAACAATTACCAAATCAAAAAACCCAGGAGAGTTCACATAAAAATCTAAGTTCCCAGTCTTCTCTTTCTTGGTCACTGACACTACAATTAAACCAGTTACTTATTTAAGAAATCTAGTTGCCATACAAGAGACTTCCCTCTTCTTAACCTCTCCACATCTACCCCATCAAGTTCTCCAAGTTCAGCTCTGACTCTGTGGTTTTCAACGCTTATGGTGAAAAGATGCTGGTTCCCAGGTTGCACCCAGAAAAGGAAGGCAGAATTTTTTTTAAAAAAGCTCCTCAAAAGATTCATATGTGCAGTTGGGGTTTAGAGCCACTGCTCCAAAATCTTCATTCGTGTCTGTGTCAAATACCACCACCCCTCCCCCCACGCAAGTGAGACCTTCCCGTCTCACCAGTGCCCTGCAGTGGTCCTGAATTCACCTTCTCACTTCTATTCTGATCCCCAGTCAACCCATTCTCTGCCCAACAGCCAGAACGATTATTTGTAAATAGAAAAACATCTGGTCAGTGCTTGCTTACACCTCTTCAGTAATAACAGCAATAATGAAGATCACGGATAATGATCATTTATGCTTTGGTGGGATGAAGTTCAGGTTTGTTGAAAGACCGAGTCACCGAAGTGGTGAATTTCAGGACAAATGGGGGAAAGGGCATAAAAGGTATAACTGAAAATACCAAGGCAGTTTTGTTCCACACACCCCCCCCCAAATCAGGCTTCTGGCCGAATATTCTGCTGGCCTGTTCCTCTAGGCAGTGACCCAGAGGCCAAAAATAGTGCTGACCTTTCCCACAAATTGCCACCCAATCCACGTCCTGGTCTCCCATGACCATCAGGAGGAGCAAAGGGATTTCATAATTTGTCAGTGACACTATTATAAGATTAATTTCATGGCACAGCCACCAAAGTTTATTAAATGTCACTCCCTCAGAGTTGCACGATTCACCCAGCAAAATACAATGATATTGGTAAATTTTTAGGCAAAATAACAGAATTAAGGGTGTGTATTTGTTGGGGGGCGGGGGATGATGGTTACAGCTAGGATCTTTTTTCCTATAGCTCATAGATGTAGGTCTTTCTTTTCACCAATAAATCATGTAAATCCAGTTATTTATTTGAGCTGCAGTGGAGACATTTTGTCCTCATGTGACTGTATCGTGATTTTATAGACCACTGTATCAGCCACTGAAATCTTTTCTTTAGATTCTAAGCACCCCATCACTGTAGATGTTGCACTTTCCACTGGGAGGGCAGAGGATAAGGTTTTCATCAAAAAGTACACTCTTTGAGGTATAGTGGTGTTGTTTCATCAGAGTTTTAAAAGATACCAGTAAATGCAAACCGTTTTGGTGCTGAGTGGAAACTTGGATCCCTGTCGGCACCCCATGCACGTGGCATAATCAACTTTTATTTCGTGCTTTTATTTCATGCTGTCTTATATACAGAACCTTCTGCAGTTCACCATTTCCATTATTAAAAAGTTCAGGGGCGCCTGGGTGGCGCAGTCGGTTAAGCGTCCGACTTCAGCCAGGTCACGATCTCGCGGTCCGTGAGTTCGAGCCCCGCGTCGGGCTCTGGGCTGATGGCTCAGAGCCTGGAGCCTATTTCCGATTCTGTGTCTCCCTCTCTCTCTGCCCCTCCCCCGTTCATGCTCTGTCTCTCTCTGTCCCAAAAATAAATAAACATTGGAAAAAAAAAAATTAAAAAAAAAAAAAGTTCAAGGAGCTGCTTTAAGAACCTGACAAAAATGTGCATTTGACATTCAGGTAATGGAGACCAGTAAAGAGGTTATAAATGCAGCTACCTAGATGTTGAATTAAGGCCAGGGGCATGGCTACCTTCTTTACCCTACATTATTTTCATCAGTGAAGCTAAAGTGTGTTTGGGGACCTAATTTACCCAAATAATATGCCTGTGCAGAGTTATCCTTCATTTAAGAAAACAGTTGATATTTTAAGCTTCCCCTAAACATTTAGTTTGGGGAAAAATGGAAAACAAAATATACGGAGAGAAGCACACATGCGTACATGCACACACACACACACACACACACACTCACCCACACACACGGACCATCCCAAGAGACACTGGACAGGACCCTGCTTGCTAATGAGATGCCCACGCATTTCTTTTTGGGATCAAGGTGGATTGGTCTTGTATGGAATTCTCTGTGGTGAATAGAGCTTTAATAAGGCCACATATTCCTTTCATGCTGTTTTAGGAATTTCTTTGAAAGGATTCAGGCAGTGACACCCCTTGTGTTTTAGAGTTTTACATTTGTACAGACAAAGCTTTTCAAATAATATAAAGCCATTTTTCTAAATTCCTTATATCCCCGAGTCCCTGGGTTCTGGACAGAGGAAGATTAAAATCTCTATAAAATCTTCCATATTGCGACCACATGAACCAGCTATTGAGGGAGAAATTAATAGCATCTGAAATGAACCTTGTGTTAAGCGTCCTTCACTTTGTATTTTCTACTACTTTGCTCATTTTCTATTAAGTCTTTTTAGTCAGCGAGCTCCCTAAAACTCACATACAGTTGATTCAGATTAATCTTTAAAATCTAATATAAATGGGGCGCCTGGGTGGCGCAGTCGGTTGAGCGTCCGACTTCAGCCAGGTCACGATCTCGTGGTCCGTGAGTTCGAGCCCCGCGTCGGGCTCTGGGCTGATGGCTCGGAGCCTAGAGCCTGTTTCCGATTCTGTGTCTCCCTCTCTCTCTGCCCCTCCCCCGTTCATGCTCTGTCTCTCTCTGTCCCAAAAACAAATAAATAACGTTGAAAAAAAATTTAAAAAAAAATAAAATCTAATATAAAAGATAAATACGTATTATGTTTGTTAAAGAGCAGACACACTATGAATGCTTGTGAATACTGAATTCATTCTGAAAATTCATATTACCTTGTATTGTTATATCAAATGGCTCCAAAAATATACGTTTGTCACAGATATTTACTACTGCATCAGACTTTTTCTTATTACTGTCATTCCTCTAGCATCTCGTGTTGACTCTTTTTTTGTTGTTGTTCTTTTTTTTTTTTTACCTTTTTTTAAACTTCAATTCTTTTTAGTAAACATGCAGTGCAATATTGATTTCGGGAGTAGAATCAGTGATTCATCACTTACATACACCCAGTGTTCATCCCAACAAGTGCCCTCATTTGTACCCATCCCCCATCTAGCCCATCCCCCACCCACCTCCCTTAGTCAACCCATAGTTTGTTCTCTATCATTAAGGGTCTCTTGTGGTTTGTTTCCCACTCTTCTCTTTTCCACCGCATATGTTTATCTGTTTTGTTTCTTAAATTCCACATACCAGTGAAATCATGTGGTATCATACAGTATTTGTCTTTCTCTGATTGACTAACTTAGCTTCACGTAGTACATTCTAGCTCCAACCACATCTTTGCAAATGGCAAGATTTCGTTCTTTTTGATGACTGAGTAATATTTCATTGTGTGTATATATATATATATATATATATATATATATATATATACCACATCTTCTTTATCCATTCATCAGTTGATGGACATTCGGGCTCTCTCCACACTTTGGCTGTTGTTGATAATGCTGCAGTAAACATTGGGGTGCATGTACCCTTTCAAATCTGTATTTTTGTATCCTTTGGG